TGAACCACTGACAACTGGCTGTTAGTGTTTTTTTATACATGCATCTCCTCTTTGCTTTTGAAAAGAGATCCATAATAGAAACAGAGTTAGTAGCAAGTTTTCTAACAGCTTTGCTAAGGAAGCTATAAGTGTGTAAATAATTGGTAAGAGGAATAACTTTGATTTGGACGGATACCAAACAACCATGCTCAATTGTGTATTGCTTATGAATCCCATTATTCATACCATGAAGTGGAAATTGGCTATTTTTCAGGACTACAGAGATAAAAAGTTTATCATAATCCCTAATTCAGTCTTATCTCTAGCTTTGCCATATTGCTTATGGTTTTTTGTTTTGTTTTGTTTTTATTTTTGCCATCTGTGCCATGAATTTAGGGCCTGGGCAGTGTCACTAAACCATTTTGCTCATTGCTAGCACTCTACTCTTGAGCCACAGCTCCATTTCTGGTGTGATTAATTGGAGATAAAAGTTTCACAGACTTTGCTGCCTAGGCTTGCTTCAAACTATGAACCTTGGGTCTCACCTTCCTTAGTAGCTAGAATTATAGGCATGAGCTTCTGATGCCTGAACCCATGGTAGTGCTTTTTAATTTAGGTATATTCTCACTGCAATCTTAAATAATATGGGATTATGTAACTAGTTTTAACTGTAAATTTACTTTTATTCCAAGACTTAAATAATTTCAGTCTATGCATTAAATAAGAGAGAATTGAAATGGATAAGAAAATTGTAGCTAGTATTAGTTGAGTACAGGGACTCACTGCTGTGCTTGTTTTCTACAAGTATTCATTCCAGGTTTGCACAAGAATTTGGTGGAGTGATTTGTGTCTTGATTGCAACATCATCTCCTTTTAGGTCATCACTGTATTCAAGGATGTGTTCAGTTCAAGTTCTAACCCTTATATGGGAACCAGACAATTTCGTATCACTCCCTATGATGTTCAGGTAAGAAGTCTAAGAAACCCTTTTTCATTTTATAATTTTCTCTAGCTGCTCCTGTCCCCACTTCCAAGGATGCTTATAACACATTATTGACATCTTTTTCAGCTTGGCTACTCAGTCCTTTCTCGTGGCAGCTATGTTCCTCACCCAGTCCGGCAGCCCCTTTCACTCCTGCATCAGTCATTGCAGTCTCTGGAGTCCATCATGAAGTGTGTGCAGATGAGCTGGATGGTCATCCTTGTAGGGCCAGCCTCTGTAGGCAAGACCAGCCTGGTCCAGCTTCTTGCACACCTTACTGGCCACACATTAAAGATCATGGCTATGAACAGTGCAATGGATACTACTGAACTACTAGGTGGATTTGAACAGGTAACTGGAGTACTTTCCCATCTCAGCTAAAACTCAAAAACCCATGCTTTACTAAGAGTCTCGTGTTAGTGGGGAATACAGATAACAGTATCTTGACTCTGTGATGAGTTATGTGCTCTGTAAACTGCAGGTTGATATTATACGACCTTGGAGGCAGCTCCTAGAGAAGGTTGAGAGTACTGTGAGAGCTCTGCTCAGGGACAGCCTCCTCATCAGTACTGAAGATACAGAAATAGTGCTACGGGCCTGGAGCCATTTCCTTCTAACATACAAACCCAAGTCTCTTGGAGAAGATGGTAGAGAGATCTCCATGGAGATCGTCAACAAACTGGAAGCAGTTTTGTTGCTTATGCAGCGACTCAATAATAAAATCAATTCATACTCCAAGGCAGGTATGTGTATTTATTAGGTTTGTATATTGTACACTTACCATTGTCTATACTGTGTTCTTTTACAGGAATATATTTTTGAATTCATGCCCATATTATTTAGTTTAATGATTAACAATTATTAGTTTTGATTAGCAATCAAAACTTTGATGTATTTTCTTATATTAGCAAAGCTGTTTTACTAATAACAAATGTGAACAAAAATTAGAAATAAAAAAATTAACAGAGCCAAATTACTAATACTAAGAAAGCACACAGGAATATAATTGGTTACTGAGTTATGTGGTTCATTTTGTACATACTCATTTATTATAATCAACTACACTAACACGTAAAGCTGCTTTTATTTATTTTTTTACTTATTAGTAATTTCTCAAGTACTTGGACATATTTAAACTGCAGAACAAGAGTCTGAACGTGTTCGTGTAAATGGGAGAAGTATATCTTTTCCTCATGGCATATGATTAATATGGAAACTTAATTCCTCTTGTGAATTGCTACTTTCTGGGCATGCCCACATAAACATGCCACCAAGAAGGATTAAAGATCTATATATTGTTTATGTGGATAGATTATCATCTTGTATTTGCAAAAGCTACTTGAAACTGCAGAATTGATCCCTAGGAATGAAGAAATCAGACCCCCTACTTAGATCTACTAAACACTCTATCTGTGGCCAT